TAAGTTAAAACTCAATAAGTATGATTGTATATTAATTATTAGAAAAAAATTCTCGAGAAGAATATTTGATTATTGATCTATGATAGGTCGTAATTTTAACATTTTCCAAAGGCGTAAAAATTCCTAGTTCCACCTCTGTAAATAGTTATATACTATCATTGATTATAGAATACAATTATTATTAAAATTATTTCTTAGTCGATATTATTATTAAATGAGATTGATATTATGAAATATTATTGGATATGAGAAGAAATGTAAAAGCTGATCAAAATGTTGAGATGACTCTTTTATTGAGATTCAATAAGTATTTTGATTAACTTGTCCATTGTATTGTTTTCTTTGTTTTGATTTTATTAAAGATAAATAATATTGTATGTTTATTTTTATATTTTGTATCTAATGTATACATTTATTGCCTGTATAATATTATAGCTACACTTTCAGCTGCAATAATTATTTGTAGTTTTCATATTGTTTTTGAACATTAAAAAGAATACTTTTTTAAATTATATTTATTATTTGTAATTTGTATGAAAAATTAATAAAAAACAATTGTTCAAACAATACACGCCTTATCTGCAAAGGTTGTTTGCCGATATCTTATCCAGCGATTATTTATAAAGTTCGTTCGAGAACATTCTTCCCCGACCGGTTCTAAACTGGACGAGCTGGTATGATATAACACTCACAAAGAGGGGTCGTTGAGTCGTCGGCGTCCTCTCGTGCGTCTCTCACCGTCGAACGTCGATGCCTTTTTTCCGACCGGTGTCGTGTGAGTCCGCTGGGGAACGAAAACCGCCATTCTTTTTTTTTTTGTTGCCGTTGTGCATATTGCCACCGGACGTATAACGTTGCCGTCGTACATATTAACGCCGGGCGTATAACTTTTCTCTTGCCGTCGTGCGTATAACTTTTCTCTTGCCGTCGTGCGTGTAACTTTTCTCTTGCCGTCGTGCGTGTTACCGCCGGGCGTATAACCTCTCTGTTGCCGTCGTGCATATTACCGCCGGGTGTATTATCCCTTTTGCCGTGGTCCGTCATCCTCGTGTGCGTGGCTTGTCCTTTCCACATCGCCATTCAAGCCATCGGCAGTGTCATCGTCGTCGAGGTTGGTCGCGTCCAGTGAGTTTCCGAAGTCGTCAACATCTGTCGGTCTTGGTGGCTGTCGCACGTGCTGTGTGCACGGTCGCGTGGGCGCAACCACACAGATCATAAGACCGATCGAGGTATTTATGATCGAAACCGGTGACACGTAGCGTGACCTAACTCGTGTATTGTTCACAATAATTATTGTTAATTTTTTTTATTCATATTTTTATTATTATTATTGTCATTCGAGGGCGCCCTGCTTAGAATATATTATTGTGCCTTTTATTATTTAATTTATTATTATTATACTAACATTGGTCCGATACCGACCGTAAGCAATTATTGTTTTAATTCTATATATTAGTAAGTCACCTACATTGTGGACATTTTGATTACCGCAGTAAATGAGACCTACTGTCCGGTGGTCTCTGGGCCGGACTGTGTAGTAGGTAACAACAATACATAAATTACTGTAAATTTAATGTCTGAGTACTTAAATACAATCTCAATAAAGAAATGTATTTTTTTCTACTTAAATTAGAGTTCAATAAAAAATATTCTTTAATAAAATTGTTCTGCTTTTTCAATATTATTTATGTTAATTAGGATCTGCTACAAATTGTTAATGTAAAATTTATATTAACAATTTGCAACATATATATATGACAAATGGTTCGATTATGTATTCGGTCGTTAGTTGAGTGCAGCACATTGTGTGAACACGTACCTGCGTTAAAATGAACAATAATAAAAGAAAAAGATTGAATTTAGTAGAAAAAAAAAATATTATTAAAACTAAGAAAACGGAAAATCTATGTGTTCGCGTATTAGCAGAACGGTTTGCATAAGCAAGTCACAGGTAAATTTAAATATTATGTTTTAATTTATCTAAAAAATATCTCGTTTAATGAAAAATAAAGGTGAATAACATTTTAAAAGATGCGTTTAATTTGAAAAAAATATGACGCTGAGAATGGCAATCAAAATATGAGGAGAAAATTTTCGAAGACATCGGATGTAGCACTTGTAGGATAAAGTTACGGACTATCAAGTGCATGGGTTCAGCTAGTACTTTTATACATGTTAAATACATGTTATGGCACTCAAAAATTTAACGTAACTAGAAATTACAGGAGAACAACTTTAAACAAGTATAGGTAAGTTTTTTTATTCGGACATTTTGACACTAACGAAACATTTATAACCTTATTATTGTTATTATTATATATTATTAAATCATATGATTTTTTGCGACTGACAATAAATGTACTTGTAATTTATTCGAAATCTAACTGTGTATTATACTGTATTAATATTCATATTAAAATGACAATAAATAAAAGTTATCGAGTAAGTATACCAAAGAATAAGACAAATATAGTGTTTATTAAGTATCCCTACATGTGCTGTGTCCGGGTGAGAACAAAAACAAAATATATTTATGTATATTATATATATTAAGGTATTTTTCTCTTCGATGAATAATTAACGTATTAAATTACATAGAACGAGATTTTTCAGTGTGCGACCGTCGACAGATGCATGTGGTCCACGACGTCTATGTATATACTCGCTTTTTGGCGGACTAATGGATGATTTATAAATATTCTCATACAAACGGCAGATATTAAACAGACGCTTCACGTCCATTTCAACTTCGCTCCATTCATGTCCAGGTGTCCAAAATCAATTATTCGAGTAGGATGATTAATATACGCTGGCAGTAGCCGTGTATATATATTGGGCAAACACAAGTGGTTGTTGGCGGGATTTTATTCTATCGAAGAGCAAGTCACCATGCATGTTACAGTCACCGTCTTACAAAATACTATAGTAAATCTGCGTTCAATAAAACCAATGTTTGATCAAAGATTTCTGGACTATCGAGGTCCTACTTATTTCAGTCCATGAATAATGAGTCAAAAGAAACGATATGTGTAACACCTAAATGTGCAAAAAAAATTAAAACTGTTTAGCTGTATTTAAATATAGACAAAATTTAAAAATACTTATTAATAAGTAGTAATTATAATATAATTATTATTATTATAAGACGTGAAAATAAAAATATTGATAAATATTGTTTCTTATTGATTATATTATTTTTGTTTTTATTTATGTTTTGTTTTTGGTATTGTAAATATTTAATTTTATATCTTCGTTTCCTTCTTCAAACTGAAATTAAAAAAAAAAAAATATATATATTTTATTAAAAAAATAAATCATATAATGTTAATAACTTATAATTAAAAAATTATCATTGTATAACTCTCTATCCCCAACACAAGCATATACGTATAAGTCTAAAAGAAATAGATAAATCATGAATATTGTATTTATTCTTTATGTACATTGTTCACATATTTTTTTGATTTAATAATTTTAAAAAAACCAAGTGTTCTGTAATTAGCTTTTGTTAATATTAGTGTAAACTAAAGGAGAAGAACATTATTATTCGTTTGTTTTTTTTTTTATGATATATATATTTTAAGTCGAATTATAAGTTTTCTTTTTTTTTTTTATATAATATTTTATTCCTATTATCTACCTATGTGTTCATAATTTACTTCAAAATTAATAAATTGTAAAAAAAACTGATGTGCATATCTTCAAAATAAGTTAGTTATTACTCTAATATTTAAGATAAACACGTAGTATTGTGACTACTAATTTGCTATGTTTAAATAAGTTTATTAAAACGGATAAAACTCATGATGTAGGTAAGGCATCATCTTAGAGGAACTTTTGAGTTGGGTCCCGAGATATTCGATTACTTAAAATAAACACGAGTTGGATCCGCAGTGTTATTTAATAATACTCGAATCGGGTCCATAGTTACATTTGATAATACTTGAACTGGGTCCACAGTGATATTTTATCTTGGTGTTATCTTAATTACCCAATTCAAGTTTTCCGATATCGGCGTATCCGGACAGTTATCACTGGACAATAACTTGCTAAAGTAGTCAGTACACCGGCACGTGTCAAGACTGAGTACACTTCATAAAATCTACCGGCAGAAAAATAAAAAAATCTAAGAGAAAAGATGGTTTGTTTTAACAGTGGAGAATTTTTGTCAAACAAACCCGGTCAATTTTTGTGAAAGATGTGTGTTTTAAATTTCTTCCGTAATTTAAACTATATAATTATAAATAAACTATTAATGATAAAAATTAAAATTTGATCCAAAATCAAGCCAATTTAATAATAATATTACACTCAAAAAAATATTGTAATTGAATAGTAATTTTAATATTTTAATAATGTTTACATTATACGTTACCTTTGAGTAACAAAGAACCAAATTTTCTGGAAGACTTTCTAGCCTACCTCTACGTGGTGTCTTCTGGATAACGCTAATAGGCTGGACCTAATTCAAGTAGTCGATAAAATATATTTGGAACCAACTCGAGGTTATCCCATCTTAGAGTCTATAATCTTAAGAGCCTATTGAGTTCCGAGTGTCTTGATTTAAATTGAAAATAAAATTAACGTCGAATAAAACTTCGCCGATTATAAATCGAGAAAACTATACACTACCAATAGTATCATACTTGTTTAACGTTTACGGCGGAAGCAAACAAAATACGATGTAGGAGACGAATGTCTCAAAAGTTTTACAACATTTGCAACTGTAAATATTAAACACGCCCATACGTTCAACTCACGGATTGTCTTAGAATCGTAACCGGGTCGATATGAGAAAATCTAAATGTATTGTATACGCGACATTTTCCCATAGCAACCCGTTTGTCGTGTTTACGACTATACCTACACTTTATTCACTCGTGCTTGAAAATCACTAAAAAAATAAAAAAATAAATAATAATATCCAACCTCATACCTAAGCAAGGATTATAGGACGTAAATTCTACAGTTACTCCGTATAATTCAACACCCATTATCGCGTAGTCTATAAACCACACGGGACCGAAGTCAAAAGGTATATTTATAGAGCAACGTTGCGAACGTCATTCGTGTTGGGATGTTAATACGCGCGACGAACTGCAATCAGTAATATTTTTGACGATACAGAATTATAATTGCTCCGATCGATTTTACAGATGTCACATACGAACAAACCCACCAGAACGGTAAATGTTCCGCCGGTAACTGGTTTAAGCCATCAGAGAACCGCTGCCCGGAATTCCAGCGCGATTCTGGTGGGTTCGCAATACAAACTCGGCAAACGCATTGGTAAAGGCAACTTTGGAGAGGTGCGCCACGGGAAAAACATGAAAAACAACCAAGACGTTGCGATTAAAACAGTATTTTAATTATCGTTGATTTTTATTTATTTTTCTCCGGATTATCGTCATTCCTGTACTCGTATAATGCTATTTTCTATATTGTGTCGATATATTTCGTGTTCTTTAAACGTATAATATGATCGGATGTAGGTAACATAGCACTATTACGGAATAATATTTTCTTCAACAGGAACCCGTAAAAACGAAAATGCCACAGCTTAACCTCGAATTCCAAGTGTATAAATTGTTGGGCGCCACGAGTAAGTAAAATGATATACAGATAACAGTTTTTTGATTTATTTTCGTTGCATTACACATTTATTATTATGCGTGATAAACATATTTTATTTGATAAATCGGTTTGATCAGTTATTTTACAACTCTTATTCGTTAATGAAATAGTAAATGCTGTCATTTTTCGTAACTATATCGTATATAGTAGATCATTTTTGTAAAAGAATATTATGTTGATCAATATTGCTTTAGGACAAATCAAATTGTCAAAGGGAGGGAATAGTCTGACTTTTTTGAGGAAGGAATTATAAAATTTAAAAAAAAAAAAAAACGAAAAATTGTTGCTTACGAATCTCGTATTTTAGATATAATACTATGAAATATTTATTAATCGAGGTATAGTTTTATTTTTTGTGAGTTTTTATTAAATATTTTAAAGTAGGTATATTATGAAAAAATAAGTAATTAGTGGTAATAATTTATAATAATTTACATATTTAATATTTAATATAATTGTAATTGCCTGTTTGAGTATAAAAGGGATTAAAACCTCCTCATTACCAAAATCGCAGCTGTTAAATTAATAGGTAATAATATAAACAGTTATTATCTAAATATATCAACCCTCCTCCCCCCATAAATAATCATTACTTCTTGCTATGAGCTCCGCAAACGTATAGTAATTTAAATTAATATACTATTGTATACCACTACATACAGATGCATTGCACACAATGAACGGAATACCGAAAGTTTTCCATTACGGATTAGCCGAAAAAAAGTACAACGCTCTGGTTCTAGAACTTCTGGGCCCGTCGTTGGAAGATTTGTTCAACATTTGTAATCGAAAGTTTACTTTGAAAACTATTATGATGATCGGTATACACACGGTACGTGATATACAATTATACCACGATAACCATGCAAGGCATTTTTATGCGGCTGCTAATATTATAACTATATTACAAATTCACGCCAGTCGTATTGTTTTTCATAAAAATCAATTATTTTAGCTGCGCATAATAGAAATCGTGCACGACAAAGGAATAGTATACAGAGATATCAAGCCTGAGAATTTCGTCGTCGGCCAGGAATCAATGAAAAACACCATTTACATAATAGGTGCGATGGTTGCGTTGAGCACAAAGTATTATACTCATATGTAATACGTGTTTCGCCATGTGTTTGTCCCGTAAATATAACAGTTCCCCCGTCATATTGTTTATTTTTCGTTGTTTCATCAATATACAAATATATTCACATTTTCAAAAAACATATTTTTTAAATCTAAAATATCCAATACTAGAAATAGTAAATAGGACTGATTTTTTTGAGGAAATATAGATAATTTATTAATTTGCCCATGTATAATAATTTATTATATTTTTATGATTTTTTTGAAATTGAAGTAGTATCAGCTATAATGGCTGGATTCCGATTGAGCACGATTTTCCTTTTTCACGATCCGATTTACACTCATTTATTTGTTTTTTTTTTTTATTACGGTGTAATCGTTTTTTGTGCATCGTCATTTTAACAATTCAACTTTTTTTCTCGGCCCAATAAACTTGTACTTGCAAGCTTTAACATTTGCCTCTCTCGGATAATATAATCTGTATTTCATTGTTTTCCATCATGAAAATCTTAAATTTGAAAAATACAGTGTTTTTGATGAATGGGAGCACGAGACTACAGAACAGACTGACTGCGACTAAGTCTTATTTATAATGTAGGTACACACAATAACATAATCACAATTTATTGCAGTCGTTGTAGATAGAATTTTGGTTTCCGTTCGATCTCAATTATTTGCAATTCCTGAGAGTACCCATCGATCGATAGCAAAATATTTTTCGGCTAATATGTTAGTTACCTATTAGTAATCTACACAACATACGTGCTAGTGGAAATCTGACATCGTTGCACACAATATTTATTGTTTTCATCGTGCTCAATCGTGTTGTCAAAAAATTTGACCGATAACAACCCTACTCGCCGGGTATCACCCGTAATTATAAAAGTAACAAGTATAACAATAACCGTATGAAATTTGAAACGATTTAAAAACAACTGATCGGTTTTTTGTGTACAGATTTCGGATTGGCCAAGTCGTACATCGATCAAATCACGAAAAAACACGTACCTTACCGAGAGAGGGTGAATCTCACGGGGACGGCCAGATACATGAGTATGAACACTCACCTCGGAAAAGGTTGTGCATATTCTTACAGTTGCACAATGTATGTTTTTCGGTATTGCGAAACAGTACATTGTGCACCGTACGCCCGTCACGATTCTGTATTGTATTACTGGGTTTCAGAACAAAGTCGTCGCGATGATTTGGAATCACTCGGCCACATGTACATGTACTTGGTGCTAGGTAGTCTGCCCTGGCAAGGGCTAAAAGTAAATAATTCGAAAGAACGATTTCAGAAAATATATGAAATTAAAAAGAAAACACCGATCAGTATCCTCTGCGACGGACACCCAGGTAAATAATACGTGTAATATAAAGCAATATAAATAATATAAAGTGCTTGAAAATATATATTATCGCTAAAAATGTGCACGTATCAATATAATGATAACTAAAACATCCAGGAAAAAATAAATATTTATATTTTGCGATTATGTTCAAAAATGCACTAAAGATACCTAATTTAATCTCGATAGCAATCAAATTTGCTATCAAATCACATTTTTATCATAACTCGTTTCACTCATTTATACTTAAAAACAAACAAAACTTATCCAAAAAAAAAAACGGCGAAATAAAATAATTACTAAAATGAATATTGTGAGCATTATCGGTAATATGAACATTCCAATTTAAAATTAGTTAAATAATATTTGACCGAACTGAGACTATAGCGTGATCGGACCGTTGTGTCACCTATAGTATGAATAGTGCCTAATACAATTAAAATCAATTCAGTTTTTTTTTATTATAAGATTCGTTTACCTTATATAAATTATAATTAATTACGTATGCAATTATTGGTATAAATATATAATATGCAATATATTGAATCTGCAATCAATAGAACCAATCTGGTATTATTAGCTTTAATATTAGAGTAAACAGACATATTATCACACTAAAATAAAATTATCTCAGTATTGTCATAAGTTTTTTACGACGTTTTAATTTTGGAATTAATTATGCACTTTTTAAATTTTAATATCATAAATAATCACAACTCGGTTAAAATTAAAACCTTGTGTAAACCTATGATATTACACAAATAATCTTCTTCCCTAAAAGTTAGATATTTCGTCAATTGTCTCTAATATTAAAACTTACAACACAAAATTGGTTCTACTGGACACAAATTTTCAATGTAATACGTTTAGAAGAGCACACATGTAGTGTGGCGTTTTTTTAAAATACTTTTCGTATTTATTTATTTATTTGAACAAACAAAAAAATTAATAAAATGATAAAATAAATATAGTCGCTATACAATTTTCTAAGTTATTAACTATCATTTTTAAAAAATAATAGATTGAGTGAAAATTAATTTATTTTTTGGATCATTTTGTTTCACGAAGACTACATAAATAATATAAATAATATAATATAAATATTGCAAACATACTAAAAATGCCCTAAAAGTTCTCTAAACCTAAAATATAAAGACTACAAAAAATTAATAATGATAAATAAATTTAATTGAAAAATTGAATTGATGAATATAACAAAAATTCCAGTAACTTCGTCGTTAAATACAACCATAAAAAATTCATCCCTTATTCAAATTATTAATTTAGATCAACATATTATAAACAATAATGTCAATATTGAATTTTTTATAGTAGCACACGTTTTATTAAAATATTTCATATTTTGCACAGAAATGGCTGAATATATGAATTACGTCAGACGTCTGGGGTTCAACGAAACTCCAGATTACGTTTACCTCAGAAACCTTTTCATCACTGCTCTTCATAAAAACGGATTTGAAGACGACCAATGCTTCGATTGGAAGGACAAACCATTGGTATTTTATCTAAAACTAAAATGTTAATCGATTTCCGTCAATAGTGTAATTTTTGTTTTATTTTTTTTTACAGAACTCGAGCAAAACGTAATATCCGAATATGGTAATACAGTGAAATATTTAATTTCACTATAAACCGTTCGGATAGACGCATTGAAAAAGTTTATCTGTTATTTTACCACTTATGGATTACTCAAATCTGCACATATTTTTAACTATTTGTTACAATTCAATCTAATATGGATAGTTAATAAACTTTTTATACCCAACATAATTAAATTTGGTCCAAAACACAAACGCCTTTTCTTTTAATATGTACCAGTCAAGTATCGTAAAAACATCACGTCTGTTCATAATTTCACATTTTTTTTTACCACGAAGCTTGCATAACTCGATTTATTATAAATACAATTTAATCTTTAATTGTGTATGAACAATGAAAATATGACTCATATTTCCCGGAAATAATTTTTACAATTGACACGATAATCAAGTATAAATGACCTTTTTTTATAAAATTGATTCTAATACTACACAATGATGAATCCATAATTTTTTAGCCAGAATACGCTTAAAAAGGTTTAATAGTTTAATTTTTCTCCCTACACACTATATTATTTTTATTTTCATATTTACATATACACTATCATTCATTAATCATACACCCTAAAATTTCATACAGTGCCATGCAAATAATGTTTTCAGAAGTTGGTTTTTACCCAATTCCACTATATCCAAAAAAAACATTAAAAATAGGGGATTATCGTATAAAAATATATGTTAAGGTTATATATATTAAGGTTAACTGTTGTTGATTCATAATTTTAAATTTACAACAGATATTGTTGATTCAGATGAATTATATTTTTTTATAAGCTTCTCTCATCTTTTATGTATTATGATTTAGAATATAAGTACATGAGTGTGCAAATGAACCTGAGTGCATATCGCTACATTTTTGCAATGCTACAAGCTTTCAATGGTTAGGTATATTATGCTTTATTATTAAGTTTGCAATACAAATAACACATTCATTTTTTTTTAAATTTTGAAAAAATTAATATGTTTTTCGTTACACTCCAAACTAACGATAAAATCTCGACCGTACGCTAAACATTTTAAGTCCATTGCGTTGCGGAACATGACTTCTCGGTCAAACGAACAAATGTAGAGCTAGTTATTTTTTCCATATTTTATTATTTATTAAATTTATATTTATTAATTGATAGATTGAAGAAAGAACTACATCCGTGTACTCGCATATTATATATTGTTTTATAAGTATCAGATTAACAAAGAGATTCATGTACGACCTACTACACAATCGGTTATTATTAATCTATTTTTTTTTCTCGAAAAGTATTTTTTTAGTATTCTGCTTTACTTCGTAACGCCAACGATTGTTTTATTATTAATTTATTAATATGTTTTTGTTATCATCACTATATATATATATATATATATATATATATATATCACATCACTATATATGTATGCTATATACTATATCTATGAACTAAATGATAATATAATAATGTGTGTCGGTGAAATTATATTCATTAATAAGTTCAAACTTATTAGTATAATTTATTAATATAATTAATATTAGTACAACGAATTTAATAAGAATTATCTAATTTATTATTAAAAATTTATTAAATATTATCTAATACCTTTATTAAAAGATAAAATTTCAATATAAAATTCAACATATCATTCGAAGGCAAAATGAACAACCAATCACGGGAAAAGCCGTGACGAGTCAGCTAGTTTTATAATATAGTTATAAGTTATAAGTAAACAATTTTCATCATCTTATTTTTTATAAAAATATTTTTTTCCCTTATTTTGAATTTCTAAATTTATATTATATCTTTAATCAAATTCATTATATGTTCAAACCTTCTTGATTAAAATTTTAAAAATATATTTTACATACACGTGTGACCACAGATTAGCTCTACTGTCTCGAACACTGTTGATTTAGAGATAACAATTTAAGAAGTTCGAACTTTTACTGTTAATAATTATTTATTTTGATTCAAAAATATGATGTAAGGATAGACACAGGTAAGAATTGGGCATCATTTATGTATTTATTTAAAAACAGGTGATCAAAATATGCGGTATAAATGTTTTTGAATTATTTTTGTTGTGTACATTGTTAAACGATTAAAGTTCAAAAAATATTTATATTTTAATCCTAGGTTCGCATCAAATATTGCGTGTACACTCGGGTTTCAATAAGTTTCTCAAAGACCATAAGGGTTTGGTTGATTTTAATTGGATTATTGTCTACGACAATTAAGTTTGATAATATTTTCATTAGTAGTAATCAAAATAGTAACTATAAATATGATAATTATCGATTCGCTACATTTTTTCAATGAGTAATGAGTGCGATTTTCTCACACCATAAGTTTTGATCGGTTACTTGTATACAATGACGCAATATTACTAGTTGTTTTATAATTGTAAATAATGTCATACAAAAACGAATTAACTTATATTTTAGGGACCGTTCGGGTTGGATACCTGCTCAACAACAATATTAGACAATTAGTAACTTCTAAAATGTATAAATATACATTTTAATATGAAAATATAATATGAACATATGGGCTACAGACATTCTTATAAAGTATTCGAATAAAAGTATTTGAATACTTTTTTGTATTCGAATACTAATTTAAATACTTTTCATAAATGTATTCAAATACGTATTTTGAGAACTTTTTTTTGTATTTTTTATTCACTATAATACTACTTTTATCTGAACTTATAAAATTGTTTCAAATTTGGAACAATACTGCAATTTTTAAATTTTAAATCGTAGATTTTATACAGTATATAATAAATTATGAACAATAGTTTTTCTCTTCAGTCATTTCAGTGAAAATATAAATGAATAATGAATATGATTATTTTTAAATTATGTAGGTATATAAAAGATTACATTGGAATTATGGTGTACTGTAGTCTGTATGTATTTACTTAATATAATGTGCGGTGTATTTTAATATTTTATTAATATAATATTAAAATTAAGGGGAATTTAAATGAAAACGAGCATTTTTTAATACAATTGGTATTCACAATTCAATAACAACTATATTTGAATATTTGGTATATTAAATATTAACTGATATAAAATATGTAATATTTAGTATTTATTTGTTCATTTACTTTATGCATCATATAATAAAATTTGCCATCAATCATTAACTTCCAAACCATTCCAAAATTAACATAAAATGGCAAACAATAATATTTTAAAAGTATTCGAATACTTTAAGTACTCGAATACATTTTTAAGTATTCGAAAATATATTCTGAATACATTTTTTTTAAATTATCCGAATACGTATTCTGAATACATTTTCATCCATTTATTCGAATACTTATTCTGAATACAAAATAAAAGTATTCTTTACAAGACTGGCTACAGATCTAAGAACCAAATAATAACTATTCTCTCTTACTCTAAACTACGACATGTAAATTAAAAACAATACACTGTGTGCATTTTGTACCAAAAAAAAATCATCAGCTATAAAAATAGACACTCGTATTTCGTTTCGTTCGAAATAATAGTAATCAATAGTTATCCACGCATACGTATAATGTTGATAAAATATCTGAACAATTTCGATTAATCAAGTGCTGTTGATTTATTGTTTTATGAGGATTTATAATAATATATTAACAACTAAATATTTGCATGTTATAATCCATTTATTTTTCGCGTAATTTTGTTTAGACGATTCTAGATTATTTAACATTTAATGTTGAATGTGTATACATATTCTTATTCATAATTAAACATCTGTCCATTGATTCGTTTGACACGTGTATAATACACTTAAGCATAATATAAAATGTGACCAGAAATATAATGTACTTGGTAATGAGCATTTTTATTAGTATTTTTATTTTTTTTATTCATCTTATCTTTCGATGGATGGAATATAATATTTTTGTGTAATGTTTTTAAAAAAATATAATTTTATTACATAGTTACGGCTGTAATTGCTCAAAAATGATATATGTACAAAAGTAAAAAAGCATTATAACCGCTGATTAATGATGTTTTTCTAATTAACCAACGGTAATGATAACAAACCGTTTTTTCCTCTCTACGAATTATTATTTAATTTTTTTGTTTTTTTACGATGCGCCAGCCACACTATGGACCTTATAGTAATAGACGGAACATGTTATGCGCTCCAATGGTGTAATAAGCTGTTTAATATTGTAATTTAGTTTTCAATGTTGGGAGCAAGTACTACTCAGACCGCTATATTGTCACAATTTTTTAAAGGGACATTTAACAGAGCTATATCGAGCAATAAATACTTTTACTTTCTAATAAAACTTAACGATAATACAGTGATATTGTATAAACTAACAAGCAATGGGCTTAGATTACGATGTACCTTATCAACACTGACAACGTAGAAACTACTCGTTGTTACTACTATTCTTTTACATACTGATTTCAAGCGAAACGAAATCCTTCCATATATCGCTATTGATTTTGTACCTAATAGATAAAATGTATACAAAAGGTTCCACGTAGATATACATATTGTGATATCTTCTGAGATACCTAATAAGAATAATAAAATGTAGTTTTATTTTTAATTTTCATATCTCACGTTTTCCTATATTTTCAAAATATTATTTGCTCATAAAGAATTAAACAATAATTTTTTTTTTTTTTAACTAAAAAAAATATTCAAATCATGAAGTTAAAAAATGTTAAAAAAATGAAATTTAAATTACTTTTTTGAAAATAATTATAAAATAAAAATTAATTTTTTGTATTTCTTATAAAAATTATAATTTATAATAAAATATAATTTACATATAGTTGTAATTAAAGTATGAATACTTGTAGACCTGATCACTACGAGTCACATAAGACAACATTTATATATTACTCGTATATCTTAACAGATAGTTTCTTTGCAGTTGGCGTTTGTTTTGAAAACGAATGTAGCCTTATTAGTTTCATTAATGAAAACAAAAAAAATCTATTACATAATAATTTATCGAACGAGCATAAGTTTTCCTTTAATCTCAAAGTATTCATTTTTCTCTGTGCGCATCATTATTTCGTCCAACGTACCGCAATTAGATTTTGCATTGTAAGTCGTGTAACATCATTACACGTGTTTAGCATGGCGTCGTGAGAGATAATAGTGTCGTAAAATTGCAAGACCGTACTTTAAATACGTTA